TTGATCCTCACCTGAAAAATGTTAAATGTTTGGGTGAGCACAAAAGCCCATGAATAGAAACCACCTCTAATGAGGTGTGAAAATAAATCCCACATTTTATATGCAAAAATAAACTTTGTTACCTACATAAGTATAACAAATTGTACCCTAACCCCTTCCACGTAACCATGTAAACAAAATGATCTCATGATCATAAATAACTTTATAAAAAAAAAGACATTTATAACTCAAACACCCACTCATTTTCACAAATAACTTTATAAATGAAAAACATTTATAACTTAAAACACTCACGCACATTCAGTTTCAAATACATTTGTCAAATCATATTTGTTACCACTAGCCTGGTAATTGGTCCCGTCTCTTGTCATCACTAGCCTGATGACTAGTCTCATCTCTTGTTATCACTAGCCTGATAACTGGTCCCTATGTGCACATCCCTATACCGACCATGCCGGTATACAATCTTATTACCATTTAGACCTGGTAACCTAGTCCTCTTCTCATAAAACATGATTTCAATGCACACATTAAAACTGTTATTTTAGTTCCAACGCACCCAAAATTTCTTTTTCATCATCAAAACACATTTAAGCAATGATATAAAATCATCTCATAAGTTTTTCCAAACTTCACAAGTATAACAATTTACAATTGCAAAACATTTAATTGCAACCACAAACATCAACATATATCATATATATATATAAATTCACACACACGCAACCATAGTTTAATATAAAAATTCCCCTAATAGAAGTAGTAAACTACTCACCTTGATTCCTAAAATCCAATTCAAAGTCCTCTTTCTAAACCTCAATGCAATCACCACCTAATTCAAAATTACATATAAAAATCAATCATTATTCCTAACTTCGGCGTTTCACGATTCTATATTTAATTTTTGTATTTCCTATCCATTGATATATACTTAATATATCTTTTACATATAAATATCCTTTATAATATGAGGCAATAGGGTATGGAAGTATTCTGGGCTGTTTAAAAAAAGTTTCTAAAGTTTTAGAGTCAAATCATAATTTTTGAACTTTTTGGGGTCAAAGTGTAATTTTAAAAAAAACAATTTTTTTTGCTTTTGAACTTGCCATAAAATTTTCAAAATTCTATTCTTGCAACTTATCAAGTAAAAAGGTACTTAAAATTAAGTTTAGAAGAATAAAGGGGTCAAAATAAAACTCTTTGAAACTAAAGGGATAGATGACATAATTCTTGGACTTATCTTCTTCAACCCACCACCCTTCCACGTTCTGCAACTATAAAGAAAGTCCAAACCCCCTTTTTTTTTTCTTCCCATTAAACTCAATCAAATCTCAAATAACTATATACCCAAATTTAACTTAATATCTTCAAAATTATTTGTGTATTATATATATGACATCCAACACCATGTAATATAATAAAATACAAAACTCACAAAATAAATAATACATCCACATAACTTCAATGAATCCAACTGTCCCTTTTTCTTTTTCTTTTCTTCCTTCTATATCTCTCTCTCCCTTTCCCTCTCTCACGTTTGTTTTCTTTTCTTTATTCACCGGACAGGCCCTCCACAAGTATTCTCACCAAAAGACCCTACAAACCTAAATATAATTTTATATATATAAGTGTTTGACTTATCCAACAAGACTATTCTATTTAAACCACAAATATAAGAGTCTTAATAGGTTTCTCTAGGGTAAGACTTTTATTAGAGATATACTAGTCTTCTTTAATTATTTTTATCCTTATATATATATATATATATATATATATATATATATATATATATATATATATATATAATTACTCCTAAATAGCCAATGCATCAAAATAATATAATATATTTTTTTATGGATAATTACAATAATTTCGAAGTGATTACACAATACCTTTCATAGAATCTTGGGCTGGTTCTCTTGTAATGAGGATTATGTACAATATTTATAGTCCAACTCCTAACTTTATGGGATCTGAGGCAAGATCTTTGTCTCTCCTCCGTAATATCTTACTTGATTTCAGGAGAAGGTTTTGGGCAGTTGAGGATCTTGCACCTAGACTGACGCTTACTGCAGTTGTGGGCGCTTCTGGTAGCTTCCAACTAGTTCCTTCTAATTTCTTTTGGGGTGTAGCTCGAGGAAATCCCAAGGTCCAGACCTCTAAGGTTAAGCTTGCTTGATTGAATTATTTGATTGACCTCAATTCTTGAGCTCAAACTAGTAATTTCTTTTAGGTATCATCAATTACTTTTCTGTCTTGAAAGTCATGTAAACCACCCGACTTTCTGGAAGAGTATCGTTCCGGTGTACGTGAGTCCATCAACCACAAACATCTTCTTTTTTCTTGCTGATTGAGTCCACTTTCTTACGCACATTCTGAAACTCCATGGCAGAAAAGGGGAGGTCATCCTCCAAAGGTAGATCTGGATAAGTTCATTCGCTCTCAATTTGGTTCATTGGATGTGTTGATCGAAAAGATCAACGTCGAAGGTGCTAATTTGCCGGGCTCTGGATGGGTAGTAAGTTCTCCAAGCCTTTCTAGAATTGGGCAATGCTCTAGGGAGGTAATTCAATAATTTAAATGGTACTTTAAGTGATAATTTGGACAATTTGTAAATTTAGTTGATTTTTGTTAACTCTTTGGGTCAGGTTAAGGAGGATTTAACTCTCATAAATATCTTAGTCTTGGCGTGAATGACTTATCTTTGACAAGACTGGGGAGAAAATTAGTCTAAGTGTGTATAAATTGATTTGAACATCTCGGACTATTTAACTCAAAAAAAAAAAAACCAAAAAAAGAAGTAATACAATCAAATCATTATATTTATTGTAAGTTTTAATATTTGATAGAATTACTTTCGAGTCAATTGGTTATGATCTTTGTTATCTTTTTCGCAAATGGCTTGCTTTTGATAAACAACTAAAGAAGCTTATGGTTGAAACCACAAAGAATGAGGCGAGGGAAAATTTAACACAATTTTTTGTTCATTCTGCCCTGTAATATCAAATCTTTGTGTAAATTATACTTTTTTTAAATCTGATTTATTCTTAAATTCATCCTAATTTTGGAGAGATAGTAACTCGGTCTAATTGGTAAATGTTTCTTTTTCACCGAAATCAGCACTGGGTGTATCACGTGATGCCATGTTTTATTAAACTTTTAAGACTGAAAAATAAAATTTTCCTTTCCTATGGTGGTACATTCTAAGGATCAAGTAACCCTTAATGTGAGACTTTTGGGGGGGAAAAATCCAATGTATAAATTTCTTTTATTTTTGATATTATGTTTATTATAATTGTCCTTACTTATACATACTTACCCGGTTGTTCTCTCGAACTCTTTTAATTGACTCAAAAAAAAAAAAAAAAAAATCTGCACATGGCAACACTCATGTGTTGCAAGTGTTTTAATTTTTATGGTTTTTTTGATCAGTTTTTTTTTTAATTAATTAGATTGAACCAGAACTTATCAAAAGTTGAATTAATTTTAAAAAAAAATTACTGATGACACTTTGCCCCTAAAAAATTTGGAACATTTGGAATATAATTAACTGGAAATATGCGAGTGATGTGTACGATTTCTTGAGGTAAAGACTAGTGCTCCATGGTTTCCGGGGAATGCATTTAATATCATGTGAATGTATGGGGTCTGTCTGTAATTAAATAATAAGCACCCCATGGCCATGAATGGTGAGGAGCTCGGTATGGGAGATGAGATTTCTCACCGGTGTATAGATTTTGTGACCTTGCTTTTTGAAAAATTTCCATGTTAAACTAGGTGTTACTATATTATTAGTTTAGACAAATATCATACGCGTTCTGGAATTATGGTTCTTTAAATACAATCGATTCATTATGTCCTTCCATTAATACAATGATTAAGTTGAAAATCAATTTGGCAAAATGTTTGGAAGATGGAACAATGATTGTCAATGATGTGATTATTATGACTTGATGATGTGATTATTATGATTGTCAATGATTTAATTCTGAATTTTAGTATTTATTAGAACCTATTACCTATTTAATGATAGTAGTTCATAATAGTAGGACTTGTTACCTAGTTATTGTCTGTGCCTTAAGACACAGAGTAATAAAAAATGTTAAACAATAAGCATATTTGTATTCATATTCAAAATCAAAATCAAATCACAAATATAGAAAAGAGATAAATAAATTTAAGCATCGATTGTAGTGAGGGTGAGAGGTGGTGGGCTGCAGTGGTAGTGGTAGGAGACGGTGATTGTTATGGTGGGTGGCAATGACCACGGTGACGGTGGTGGTGGTGGTTGCGGCGTCGATGGCGGTGGTGGTGGCGACGACGACGGCGATGGTGGTGGCGGCGGCGGCAATGACAGTGGGGGGCGGCAGCGGCGGTGGTGGTTGCGGTGGCGACAACGACGACGGTGGTGGCGGTGGTGGTAGTGGTTGAGGTGGCGGCGACAATGGCAGTGGCAGTGGCAGTGGTGATGGGGGTGGTGATGGTGGCGGTGACAGTGGCGGGACGGTTTCAAACACTATTTTTTTTAAAGTACTTATGAGAAATAATTCGTAGAAATATTTTTAAAAAATCACTTCAAATACACCATTAATGAACTATTTTTTTCTATTAAATTTAAAGTATTAATATTAACCGTTAAATTAATTTTAAAATAAAATTTAAAGTGATCTGCATCGCGAAAAATAAAAATTATTTTATTTATCTTTTAAAATTTAAATTATAAACTACTTTATTATATAGATTTTTTAAAAAATATCGTTGAATAGTAGTCTCATGTTTTGAGACAAGTCTAAACTGTATATTCTTTACCTAACGGGCCAAAGTGATACCACCCCAAACCGCAAGGGAGAGAAATGAATTTTTTAAAAATTACATTATAAGAAAAAATGCCAGGAACGGATTTCAGGCAGCTATGAGAGCAGCAGAAGCAAAAGGCCAGGCAGAAGAAGGCAAAAATGCTAATTTTCTATGTTGTATACCATATTGCACAACAACAAAGTAGTGTTGTAAAACAAGTATGAGAATCAAAGAACAACCTCCTCCCTACATATCTCCCATGTTTGTTAGCGTCTAAAATTATTGGTCTTTTCAGTATTGAACCCGAGATTCGTTCATTTCCTTCACGAGTACGTTCGTTAACCGACTCCACCAAATAAAATCCTTTCTAAAAGCCATTCAGGAGGACAGAGGGGGGAAGTCTTCATTCTTATGGTGGTATGAATGCTCTGCAACCCTGAAAGCCCAAACCACATACAAAGTGTTAGATGTATACAATAAGAAAATTCCAATATCCTAATATATATCAATTTCCCCAAGATACTGAAACCCTTAAAAATTTTCCCTACCTTTCTTGTTTTGTATTCAGGACTCGGCTAGAAGTCTGCACTTCTGGAACCACAGGGCATGGTGTAGAGTCCCAAGCATAACTAGTGCCTGAAGGCAGCTGACTAATTCCCTCTGCCATCAGTCCAAGAGATCCAAATTCGATTCTAAAACCTAAATTGGACAGACCATTGGCATGAATACTGCTCCCATTGGATTGATAAGATTGGCCGCATAAACCGGGCTTCCCATGACCTTGAACCAAGGACCCTGGATCTAAAAGTGTACGACTACCTTCTTCTAATGAATTTGTTTCAGGAAAAGCACGAGCCATGCCATTGTTCTGGGTGTGTCTCTGCATTTGCCCCCGAGTTCCTGTTGCATAATTCCTTCTCTCCCCTTGTGAGGATTTCTCCCTGCATGAAGAACCGTTCTGCAAAACTTCCAAGTGAGATTACTGCAAAAATATGGAGCCCATTGCATCTGGATTGTACAGAAAAAAACTAATTCACCATTAAAAACATAACAAACAAAAACAGAAAAGGGGGAGAGGGCACAGAAACATGTCCAAAAAAGTTGACAAGAAAATACCATAATGGAAAAGTATGTGCCAGTTCCTTGTGCCATATGTTTTTCGTCTGAATCAAAAGTAGGATTGAACGGTATGAAATTATGAGGATAAACAAGTGATCCCAAGACCACTTTATCTGTGCTCACTTGCGAACATGCATTCTGATTCAGTGGCATTGATCGCTGGACAGTATCTAAAGGCCTCTTGTTCCTCAACTGATAGAGTGATGTGGGAGAATTGAGCAGTACAGGTGCAGATAAAGCATATCCATGACAACTTAGGCTGTACAGCAGATTCCTTATGTGACTATCATGATCCCCACTGAGGTCTGCCAAGGGATTTAAAGTTTCCATGTCGTCAACAATGCCAGTTGAGCCTATCTCCCTAAAATCAAGGGATAAACTCTCTAAGCTGTTAGCATCCGGACTTGAGATTGCTGAACCACTATCGCTCAGACCTTCATGGTGGTTAGCATGGACTGCATTGCTGGCCACTAAATGGTTCTCACTCTGTTCCAGCCACGAACCAAAACCCCTATTCTCATCAACGACTTCTGACAGCCTTTTCGGGCAGAGGTTCCCATTTTCAAAGTTCACATTTTCCGTGGGCGATCTGAACAAATAGAAATAAGGTGCACGATTACATATTCCAGAGAGAGAGCTCTTAAAATTGCTACTTGTTGGTGAACAATCAGATGTGTCATTTTCCCTTCTGAAACTCAGAGACCTTGGTGTTTCAAGGTCATTTTCATCCCCAGCAAGATGATATCCTGAAACAGCAGTCCCATTGGTCGAACAGCCAGACTCTGACTCTATCTGCAAATAATTTAGTCTTGTCAAGTATCTGTCTAGCTCATTTCTATGCACTGAAGTGCATTTATGTTCTACCCCTGAAATATCACCATCAGAATCGCCATTCAATGATTTTAGCTGCATCCCATCCTCGGACAGTGTTTCAGCATGGGATGACGAGGATAAAGTGCTGGACCATTCAGCATCAACAGACAGTACAGAACTTTGTATATCAGCCCCACATTTACAACCATGCCTCTCGAGAGTGTTTGCAAAGAACTTTTTGATTTCATCTGCAATTCTTTCTCTAGGTAACAGAAGGATTTTACCAAGCTTGCGAGCCCCATATTTGAAAGCACTAAGTATTCGATAAAAACTACCTACAGGGAAGCAAAGTTTACCATATTAACACGGAAATAATATTTACCTGGAAAAAAAATAAAAATAAAAAAACATAAAAAGAAAAGATACACACCACAAAAATCGAGACACACAAGAGTTATGCATTCTAGTGATTCTTCAATGAAAGCAATTCATTTGCATGAGTTCCCTGTTTGCTTATTTTTCATCAAGCAAGTGTAGGAACCCCAGTCAATAATCTTGTCAAGTTTATGTAGAGGTGTAACATAGTTAGTTGTGTGTGTGCAACATCTTTGGGCAATTAAATTTGGAATTTCGTGATACTAAGAATGCAGTAAAACCATAAATTCCAGCCAACTAGATCTTAAATAAACCGGCCTTAAAGAGTTAGTTTTTCTCACTTTGCACCAAATCCCTCCTAAATCACATAGGAGAAAGAGAATGTTTCTTAGTGCCTACCGTTGTGTGGAACTGCCAGAAGTCCATTCATTGATCCAAATAATTAAAATAAAATTCTTCTTACCTCTGTGGACGCTGCGCCCAAGGTTGTTATTTTCTTTCAATGGATCAATTATATTGAGATGCTTTTGAGGAAATGATTGCGAGCGTGTGTCAAGATCCCTGGATGGAACCGAGTACATGTCTATGCAGTTTCTTAGACATTCTTCGTTAAGCATCAAATCATCCTTTCCCTTTTCTGATAGCTCAACTGCTTACACACACACACACACTAGTTGAGAACATAGATAAACACATGATGGGTCATTCCCAAATCTCAGGCACAACAGTGTATTGCTTACCCACTGTATAAGGCAAGGATGACTTGAGAACTGGACCGTTCAAACTAATACAATAGTTCTCCCAGTCGAATTTGCTAAAATAATCCAAGAATCTGTAAAGAACCTGCAGATGGGCAAACAAACATCATCAGTTAAACTCATGTATGCATCAATGAAACGTACATTTGCAAAGCCAGTAGTTACCGCTAATGGGCCATTTAAGGATGCATGGAACTGACGGAATATGCATAGGACCAACATCTCCAAAGCATATGTAGAAATCAAACCATGATGGGCACCAAGAATACGGCTTTCATAATAGCACCATACTTTTATCAGAATAATGCTACGTTTAAAGATATGATTTTTGTCAACAAGTCGATCAATCTGCAAAAAAAAAATGATAATATCCAAACAGCACAATGTGGTCAACTTCCTGCTCTGGCATGCCAAAACTTTCAAAGCGCATCTAGAACCAACGGAATGGAAAGCTCTTTACTATTTTTTTCTGTCACAATCTTTATATACAAAATTGTATCTGTTTGAAATTTTGTAGGGGATGTAAATTTCCCATACATTTGCACGTGCAAAAATAAAGGGAGAGACAGTCAACATTTTTCACATCATTTTTATTTGCCACTGTGCAAAAGCATTATTAAACCAATACAACTGTCACATGAAAAAATAATAAAGAACTTTCTCTTCATGAAATCCAAACAAGAGGAAAAAAAGGCTTACTACGAATGCATTTTGAAAAGCAAAATTAGATCATCAACAATTAATAGGAGAACTTGCGCTTGTAAGACAGCAAGAAAGTGTAAATCCATATTTCATGAGAATGACTCATGGAGTACCTGTTCAAGAAAGCATAGTGTACAAAGTCCTCCTAACTGATTGAAAGATATATCTATCACAATATTCCGCACAAGGCATTTCACAAGCTTAACCTGCCATCAGAAATCCAAAGATTCTCAATAGAAACCTTGACAGAACTACCAAAAAAGGCTAGAGAACATTGAAAAGAAATTAGTCAGCTATAATCATTCATGGATATTGCAACTTGTCCAAACTAGATTGGGAAATATGTGAGTGTATTTCGTGAAGACAACCACCACAAGCATAATTAAGGACCAGTTACAATCCTATAGAATTCAGATTGAAAATGGAATATATTTGAGGACACTAAAATTCCACAATGCCCATATACGAACATAAATTCTGCAGCCGGCAATAGATTTGGAAGGGATTTTTATATTTAATGACCAAGTCAAATCTGGAAACTGAAAATAACAAAAAATAGCAGAAAATATTAATCATCTACATCATAAGTGAAATATGTCAGCGAATCAGCACAAATCTCCAGAAGATAAACATATCAAAGAAATCACAACAACGAAAAATATCATAAATCTGGAAAACTACTATCATGGAAATTTTCAGAAAAACCATGAGTGAGATATTAGGACCGAGAGTCAAAAATTTGAAGCAGCATGCATCAACGTTAAAAGCAAGGAGCGGTCAAAAGATGCTGTTAAGCAAATCCTCCGGTATATTTCTGGCACTCTTGATCATGGTTTATACCTTCAAGCTAATGGAAAATTTGATTTGCATGCAAATTCAGATTCTGTTGGGCTGGGTGCCCCTTCACTCGTCAATCTACTTCTAGGTTTTGTATCTTGTTCGGAGCAAATTGTGTTTCATAGAGTGCCAAGAAAAAACCTACTGTTGCCAAGTCAAGTACTGAAGCTGAATATCATGCCATGACCTCCACTTCGGCTGAAGTTACTTGGCTTGGTTTTCTGCTTAGGGATCTCGGGATTCCCTTTTGGCTCGACACCTACATTATTTTGTGACAACTTGAGCGCGCTTTATCTCACCATTAATCCGGTTTTTCATGGTCGGTCCAAACATATTGCAATAGACTATCATTATGTTTGTGAAAAAGTTGCCCTTGGCTCCCTTGTTACCAAATTTGTTTCATCTTTGAACCAATTGGCAGATATCTTCACTAAACCATTATTGCTAGATGTCTTTGTCAATCTATCCATCAAACTAGGCTTGGTTCCCCGGCCTAGTTTGAGGGGGAGGATTAGGACCGAGAGTCAAAGATTTGAAGAAGCATGCATCCAGGCTAAAAGCAAGGAGCTGTCAAAAGATTATGTGCAGAGTCTTAAGCCACTAATGGAACTTATATCAAGGCTGAAGACGTCCATCAGTCAAGGTCATCATTGATATGGGAACTTGGAAAGTTCAACCACAAATAAGCAGACCATATTTTAGACTATCTGGTCAAATCATTACACCATGCATCAAAGCTAAACAATAGGATATGTGTATTTAATGCATAAGTGTCCTACAATCTCTCTTGTACAGAATATCATTGCAATATTTCTAATATTTCTCTTTCCATTGTAACTGTCACTTTTAGCCTATATAAAATATCATTGGTTCATCTGCTCACAGTAACAAAGTGAGAGACACAAAGTTCTTTGTCTTCTAAATACCTTTATGAGAGACATCTAGTCAAGAGCATTACTTGAGAATCTGGGATCCTACTTCCATCATCAAATCCTCAAAGTCAAGATTTCTGGTCTAGTAGGTGGCGCAAGTTAAATGTTGTTAATATGATACATTTTGACAACTACATATACAGACATGATTCTCCAAAAAACAAAACATTGGAAATGTTACACTAATAAACATTGCTGCCACAAAGTTGGTAGAAAATTACAATAACAGATCAGAGTGGACAAAAACCTCAGCATCAATGAAATGGGTATCCTTCACTTCATACTCAGCCTCTTTATTCATTTCTTCTGCTTGCAGAACAGCAAGAACATCACGGCCCAAGGATTCCTCAACATCAGGACTGCTAAGGGCCGTCAAATCAATGTCACCGTCAGGAAGGTAGGTCTTTAGTGGCACTGATCCATAAGGGAAAACCTATAAACGAGCAAATCAACGAGCATTGAGCAAAGCTCAACTTATACATACTACAACAACATAGTAAATATCCTTTCCACAGGACTTTGCTCCCACTATAAATTATGTAGATGAACAAATAAATGAATCTCAATTTTTATTATGTAAGAATAATCTGTCATTTTTACAAAATAATAGCTAAAATATTATACAGATGAATGAATAAATGAATCTCAAATTTTATAAGGTAAGAATAATCCTCAGTCTTGGAAACAAAAGTTACAGGTGAGTAATGACAGGTCCTCCATAACAACAGATAATGCATGTCGGCTATAAAACTTATGGGCTTATCAATTTGGACTCGTAACATAGCATTGTGGTTTAATCCAAATATTGGCTTCCTTTTTACTCAGCCTGTTATGCGAAATATCATCTTTCATATGTGCAAATTCTTTCATTGATCTTTAAAGGCTTTCGTTATAAGACTTAAAAGTAGAATGACACAACAGATTTTTCATTAGATAAGGACTTCCAGAATGTGTACTCTTCAGTGAGTTGTTCACTCAACATGAAAGCAATTGCTTCCATTTGTCATCTTATAAAGTATTTAACTTCGTTTGAGAGAAAACCAACCACCTTAACTGCATATGCACACTTTGTGTACTTCATCCTCACGGTTATGTGTGGACTCACCTGGAAGGAAGTCGAGATAGGGGAAAATGAAACAAAGAATAGGGTTCGGAAGCAAGGAAAGCAGCTGTTACCAGGAATGTACATCATTTCCGTAAGTGGCCCAAAACCCCTAGGAAGCTTGACACTGACCGCACATCGTGGTACGATGCAGGTATACTGACAGATTCTAATCAACAAGACAATTAAAAATAACATGATTTTTTCCAAGAAAGTATAACCCGTTTCCTTACATTCAAAGGTTAGATACAACCTATTATTATTATCTTCTATATGCCTCTGTTTTGTTATTCATCAACTATAAGCATCTTTTATTAAAGTTAACAGCATATGAAAACTGCTGGTTCTCCATTCGAGTGGACCATTTAATATATTATGAGTGAAGCCCCAGTTTGAATAAACTCTATGCTCCATTTGGATGTTGCAAGCTGGATGACAGATGGTAGTGGTGGAAGCAAATACCATGACACTCTACTAGCCATACTAGGTTGGAAAAAAGCTTCAAGAATATAAGATAACTTGAGGATATCCAGACACACTCAATCATTAGACCACAGCATAATTTGGGGTATATAAAGATAATTCATTCCAAAAAGTACAAGATACCCGTGCAAAGTGCCAACACAGACACAAGGTTCCCGTTCATGGTCATATGAATCAGATTATAAAATCTACTCTGACTCCACAAAAAATTCCTAATAAAATACCAATGGCTTCAAACCTCTGTTTAAACATCACAAGCCACCACCAACTATTTGCCCTAAACTGCCAACATGCTAAAAAGCTTATCTGACATGGTAATAATGTAGATAACATATCCTATGAGCTCGGTCATGCATGTTCCTACAAGTGTGTGAAAAGCACAATGAAGTCTGCTTAAATAGATAATCATGATTAAATACCTTCTAAATTGCATTGCAGAACTCGCATTAGTCCACAAACGAAACAGTCAACAAATAATGATTATTATCAAAAAACTGAATAATTAAACTTTACAAAGACAAAACTAAAAAGTGGCTTCGGAAGTCCCCACCCGCTATGCACTTTATCAACAACGCATTTATTGCATTCATTCAATGGTTATTCAAACAGGCAGAGGCGGCATATTAGAAGAGAACTCCTGTCAGATCGTTACAAAAACTAGCGCTCTACGCCAAAACAGAGAAGAGCTGGTTAACGCCACACAGAGCTTTCAACATTTGCTATGTTATGCAAGCTTTCAACATTCGCTATGTCTCGCACTATGTGGCTCCATTCATTCCATCATTCAAATTTCAATACACACGGAGAAGAGAAGAGGACAGCATATAGAATTTTTTTTTTAAAAAAGACAGTGTCAGACAAACAGCAACAAAATTTGATTATGACAAAAACGATCCCGGTAACTATTGAATCGTCCCAAATTGCATAAACCTACTCATATGGATGCAAAAATAAAGAAAAAAATTGAGAAAAAAAAAACTGAAAATTCACCTCACAACCAAGAGCAGTACTGATGAGTCTCTGAACGTAATCAATCACATCCTTCCTCTTTTCTTCAGAGTCCAAAGTGGGGTGAATACAATTCACCACCTCTTGAGTCGTTTCCTCAGCTACAGCCCAACAATCCTCGCGGATTGATAAGGGATCAGGGTTTGAATGGACCATTTGCTTTGGACTGGACGACGAGAAGTGATCACTATCCATCATGACACCGTTTTGGCGCTCACAACAAACTTGAAGATCACCCATGCAGGCGACCCTTCAAAGAGGGGTTTTGAGGCATCTGAGGCAGAGAACAGTATTATCATAGAAATTTCTAAAAACAGAAGGGGTTTTTTTTTGAACTGGAAAAGTACATATATATATATATGTATGCATGCATGTATGTATGTATGTGTGTGTGTGTCTATATATATATATTCAGGTAATAGAGTCAAAATTACAGTCTAGAGAGAGAAAATAGTAATAAAATTGGGACTAACGGAATCAGACGAGAATTGTGTGAATTGTTTTCAATGACATATTGTCTATATATGTATATCCCCGAATTAGTATACACGTAATATGTCGACATATAGAAAGTGAAAGTCGAAGACACAGACAAACAGCAGGTGCTGATGACGAGTTTAGAAGGAATTCATCCAAACAAGCAGTTGCTGATGGGGTCCGTTTAGGAGGAAATTATCCGAACGAATTACCTTTTGTTTTCTTTTTCAATCTCCTTTTCTGGAGAAAAGCCGCCTCCTAAAACCACCGCCTCTGTCCGCAATCTCTCTCTTTGTCGGAGTGTGTCTGTATATATTATATCGTTCGGCTTTCTCTCTCTATATCTCGAGCATTCACGTCTGCTGCGAGGGAGCTTGCGATGCGACGCAACGAGACGAAGACGGAAGCGAAATTTGATGGGAAAAGAGGATTAAATTACAAATTCATTGATAGCTGCAGAACAAACACGATGACGTCCAGCGAATTAAGATTATTTTAACGTCGTCGTTTTAATCTGTGTTTGACTATTTTAATGTCTCGGTCATAGGTTTCTGGCTTTGTAATTGAAAAATAACTACACAATAACAATAAGGAACCGTTACAGATAAAAGTCCACATGCCATGTCAAGCCCTTCTAAGGTATGAAAGCCTACGGAGTCCTATGCTTAATGGGAAGTCACCTAACTTTGGACGTGGAAGTCTACGGTTCAACTTTCCTTTCCAACCCTCTTTTCCTTGTTATGGCTGAAATGTTCCAAACATAAAATATGAAACTTAGAACAGCCGCAAAAGTTCTAGATTTTGTTATAATCAAATGCCTTGTCCTCGGATGTAAGAGTTTGATTGTACATTGCTACATCATTCAGCACTCTTTCCTCAAAATGAGGAGAGAGTCTATAGTAACACTCAGTCAAATAGCGATATCATACTAAAAAGCGGTTGAAGTATTGTCGGAACAAAAGACAATAAAAAAAAGAAGAGCATATGAGGGCAACCAGCTAAAAAAATAACTTGCAACTTGAAAGTATTTTTTGATCGATCATAATGTTAAATGATCGATCAAATTTTCATATGAGTTATAACAAAATGGATGAAGGTGGGGGACGTGCTGGGTAACAGTAGGTATAACCACGATCGATCGATATAATTACAATGGATCACATTTGTAAATATGTTCGATTTTAAGAAGTTGTGTGATCAAACAAGTATTATGATCGATCGTAATTTAACATGATCGATTGATATTTTAAAAAGAGTTACAACAAGATGGATGAAGGTGGAGAGGTGAATCAGTATAATTACGATCGATCAGTATATGTATGATCGATCATATTTGTAAAAATCTTTGATTTCAGGAGTGAATGTTTTGTGATGGAACAAGTAAATTGTGATGGATAAGAGACTGAATGTTTTTTGATCGATTTAATTATGGTAGATCGATCAGGAAAAACAATATGATAATTTACTTCCAAAAAAATTCGAAATATTAACCCTTATTTTAAGGATTGTGAGCAATCAATATAATTACGATTGATCAATAGAAATTGTTTAATAAAAAATACCTTAAATTTAATTTGAATGTTTTGTGATCGAGCAAGTAAATTGTGATCGATAAGATACTAAATGTTTTGTGATCGATCTAATAATGGATGATCGATCAAAAAAATATGATAATTTACTTGCAAAAAAAATCGAAATATTAACCCTTATTTTAAGTATTGTAATCGATCCATAAAATTACGATTGATCAACATAAATTGTTCAATAAAAATATCTTCAATTTGATTGTGATCGATCTAAAAATGGTAGATCGATCACAAAAAAATGATAATTTACTTCCAAAACAATTCCAAATATTAATCCTTATTTTAAGGATTGTAATCGATCCATAAAATTACGATTGATCAACATAAATTGTTTAATAAAAATACGTTAAATTTTATTCAAATAAAAATATGAAATTACAAAAAATACGTGAAGTTTGGAGGGGCATACTCATTAGTTGTTGGTTATTTTTATCATTTTGCACCTTAAGTGCTATCGGCACCCATTGCAGGTGTATTTCCCCCGACATTACTGAGCTCTCCCAAACCCTAACCCCATTTGCTTAAACTAGTTAAGGACAATACATTCCCCAAATTGATTGTAAAATATAAGGGTCCTCTGTACATTCAATCAACGAAGCTGTAGATCGACATGGCCGGAGGAATAGTCGGAGCAACAAAGAAGAGGAAGGCAATGAATGGCACGAATAAGCAAGTTGTTACTGCCCAGAAGAAGGACGGTGAAATAGGTAAGAGTTCAAAAGGTGACACTGGTTTTTTGAACGAAGAAGCAAAAACATTGTTTGAAAGTTGTTTTTGTCAGCGGCCATTATTAGTGGAACGAGGCGTTGCACTGAGTGAGTTAGTTAATACCGAGTGTCCTAAGTTTATTGGAGGTCGTAATTGGGAGAACATATTTGATGTTAAGAAGAACGATAAAGCATATAACAATGTAGTTAGATTGTTTTATGCAAATTTACATGACTTTGATAAGGTTGGGCACACTTTGAAGTTTGTAGTTAGGGGTAAAGAAATAGAAGTTTTTCCTGATTTTATTTCAAAAATTTTGAAAGTTCCCAGGCCTGTCATCACCGAGAATACCATTGTATTTCCTTGTAAAAGTAAAAGAGGAAGTCCCTAGCATGGAAATGGTTATTGAGACAATTTGTGATGTTGCTATTGATTGGGTAGATAAGAACAGTAAAATATATCAGAAAGACCTTTGTTTGCCTTATAGAATGTTAAACATAATAGTTGTTTGTAACATTGATTTCAAAGGACATACAACCGAACTTGGATATGATAGAGCTCAACTTCTCTATGCAATTGGTAAAAGGGTATGCATTGACCTTCCCCATTATATATTCCAGCTTATTATGAATGCCTATGAGTTGCAGTATAGCAAGCGAAGTCTTCCATTTCCTACTTTGATTACAAATATTGTGAAGTTTTATGGGGTTGTAATTGAACTTGGTGAATCGTATAGTGCTTCCATGGGTATGATAAATGAGGGTATTATGAAAAAATAGTGCTGGTCATGCTGGGCCTAGAAATCGTGTCAAGACTATGTCACACGTGTCTTGCTCCCAAATGAGGGCATTACAGTGATAGAAGGCGAGGGTTCAAGTGCCAGTCCATTCAACATGAATACTATTGGAAAAAATTTGATGCAAATACTAACTGGGCAAAATTGTTTGGCCACACAATTGCATGTCGTTCAGGAGTGAATGAAAGGATCTTTGGAAAAGCTGGAGAGTAAAATTGATGGACTTTACAAGGAATTTAAAGAGTATGGAAAGAAGTGATGTTGATGGGTTTTGTGTGGAAGAAATTCCTATGAATTGAAATGTGTATATGCTTGTAAATCTTTTGGGCCATATTAGATTTGGCGACCTTGTAACCTATAAAATGTAATCAATTCTGTTGAACAGAATCTTTTGGCAATGGTATGAAATATTTTGTTGTATGGTGTTGTTAATAGTAGTTTTTACAAATTCATTATTTTCAGCAACATTACAGTAGTATCTTAACATCAAAATATAGTAACCTTACATCAACATGTAATAACTTTACATCAACATGTAGTAACCTTTCATCAAAATGTTATAACCTCACTTCTAAAGATTACAACATTACCTCTCCATGTAGTAACCTTACAAAAATTTATTAGAACCTGTGACACCCCAAAATCCGGGGGTCCGTTGATTACTCATCAACCCGCGGAATGTCCGTGGATACCGAGTAACTCGATATCTCAACGTTATGTCCCATTTACCGGGGTCCATCCTTTATTAAAAATTTGGGCAGAGTCTCCTTTGTAAGGAGAACTCTACTCAAAACACAATCTGTGCGTTATATAATAACAAGACCCATCCGAGATCCTATATTTAACAATGACCACACCGGATCCATTTATAAGTAAACATTGGACACACTAGGTCCAATTATCCATATTCATACAACATGCAAAATTATATTAAAACAGTCGATATAGATTCTATCACAATTCCTTTACACATTATATGTCAAAATTTAATTGCAAGTCTAATTTTACAAAAGAAATGGATTGAAAGCCACAAGTCGACTTTTCTTCCTCCTTAAGTGCCCGAGTAAGTGCCGTCCCTTGGCGTATGACCCGTACCTAAAATGTTTCCCGTATAGGGTGAGTCAACGCCCAGTAGAGAAAAACTCCTATTAGGGCTACTCCCCACCTTAAATGCATATGCAATGTGTATAAGTAACATTTAACATTTAACAACCATTCATACAAGAATATGTATTCAATGTTGAAATGCAACCATGTCATGCCATGAAATAAGATGATACTCACTCATGCACTTAAACCCAAGTCCTCATTGACTTCCATAACACAATGCAATGCCAATGTGTAATGACTCGTCTTCGACGAAAATACATCCAATGATCGATTTGAATAAAAAATCATGCATTTTATAAATTAGATCATTATTGGATGGTACTCATTAAATGAGTATTTTCTTATAAATCAAAATCTTGTGTCTTGTTGGGCAACGGATTTTGGATTTTATACCGCCAGTTCCGTATACCATACTACACTTTTCTGGAATTTCACCACAGGGGAGTGTATAACCAAGTCGCCGGGTCTTGCATCCGAGGGAGAGTCTAGCCCTACTTGCTATATCCAACACAAGTTTTCTTCTATGCAACCATGCGACTCAAAGGGGATCTTCGATCCACTTTTTCCCAAACTCACATACCAACCACCAAACAAGTGTTTGATCAACCATGCATCTCACACACCCACACTCATGACTTATGCCCATGAATGTGATGCATCTATGCACAATGATACAATGTTCAATATGCTATGAATGACATATGAACAATCTCAACATATCATGATAAGTTATGTTCTAAGCATATAGATACCATAATTGTCACAAATTCAATATATCATAACATGCATATACCAACAATTGTATTTTCAATCATAAATCATGTCATAAGTCCATAATTTCACTTTCATAATCATAGGCAAGTGATATCACAACTTTTAGGCTAATAACACACCTAATCATTAAGACATAATATAACACATAACGGCCCACGTAACGGCTCTTATCTAAACCACAAAACAGCTCATACAAACCACCATATAACAGCCCATATATAGCCCACAAAATAGCCTAAAAATAGTCCACAAAAACAGTCACAATTTCAGTCCAAGAACAGTCACAATTTCAGTCCATAACATGGCCTAAAAACAGTTCATAATTCAGCCCTTTAACAGCCCCTTAAACAGCCCAAATTCAGCCCCTTAACAGTCCCTAATTAGTGCACAAAACAGCCCCAATTTCAGCACCAAAGCAGTCCATTTGGACAGCCCACATATAAACCAATTTCAGCCACTAAAAGCTCACTTAAGGTAAGAATAAAACTAAGGTAGGAGGGAACCTACCTCAATAGAAGTGTAAGAACTTCTATAACACCAAATCAATCTCAAAGCTTTGATTTTCTCCAAAGTCTCCTCTTGGATCTTTGGTGAAATTCACTCTTTTTGGTACGTACGTGTAGTCCTCGTCGAGGAGATGAACTTTGGCTCTTGGTTCGAGTTGATCCGAGCGACAGAACTCCAGATATTGAAGAAGGAAGAATTGTTTTCTCTCTTTTCTCTCCTCTTTCTCTCCAACATGTGAACCAGCAGAATATAGAGATATTTCTGCTAAAATATATAATATTTAACACTATTTATAATTTCCAAGACATGGCCCGATTCGCGCCACGTGTCCCCCACTTGCTTGGTCCGTTTTCGTCCCGAAATGATTTAATTTCGTACCAGTTTAAGCTCAAAATATTTTATATAAAATTTATTTAAAATATTTTCCAACTTTCAAAAAATAATTTTTTAAATTTCGTTTTTGGGGGTCACCAGACACCCGTCGCCTTGAAAAATATGAAAAACTCGACTATCTCGGAATTCGACGAAAATTAACAGGACAACTAGATTTCGCAATGCCAATCCAACGGTGAGGTCCGTTTTATCACACAAGGTCTAAAAAAAATACCAATTTTTCAACCCGCACTATAATGGCAAATTACCATTTTGCCCTTTTTCATAAAAAGTTAAAATTTTTCCCGGATTTCACAGAACCTCCCTAAGGTTACCTCGTTCCATTGATAGGAGTAATACAACAAAGCAATGACCCTCGTGTAGAGCAGTAGTTCCTCCCTCTCAACCATCTTGGTTTACCCCCTAAAATTTCATATATATCCCAAACCAAACTACCAACTGCACATAAGTGAACTAGTGTATAATATTTGTTAGTTCAACAACAAAGAAGCATATATTGGAAGAAGAAAGCAGCAACATACTGCTCAGTTGGATAGGCAAGCGTGCAGAGGAAAAACATGTAAATGAGATTAATATAACTCTAGGTGAATCCCACCTGGTTCGTGTTGGTGATGTAGAAATTGTAGAAGTTTGTCCAAAATGAGTTGCATACATGAAACTTGTCACTCCTTATTTGCGTACATGAAATTTGTCCAAAATGAGTTTAATACGTGAAACTTGTCCAAAAGTGGGGGTTTTACCCTGTGTAAAATATTTTTGAATTTTTTAGTCAATTTAATCATGTTTATTATGCAATTTTTCCAATGATATGAAAATGTTTACCTTGACAACCCTTAAAGTGGAGTGAAGAATTGTCCATGACCACTTGAGTGAAAGTCATGAAAGTCATTCTGAACAGTCCATGTATCAATAAAGAATGGTCAGTTAAATGGTGAATTTCTTGATAACTTATAAAGCAACAAATAAAAGGGGAACTTTGTGTTATAAAGATGTCATTGAACTCCACCCATGTTTACCTACATGTGCGAAAGGGTCAAACGGTTCCTGAGTTGGCAATAGTTGACGGGATCCGTCTGCTTGTGAAAAGGGCATATCCTCATATGGATCAGTAGTCTGGGTAGTCAATAAAGAACATTTACAAATATTATGTCTGGTTGCCCTGCACTTGCTACATCTTCAGAACGTAAATGGATTATTATTTTGTGTACAGCCTGGATGTCCCTCTTTTGTAAAAATATGTGGATTAGCTACCCCAAACTTATTTAACTCAGTTGTCCTACTTTTGTGTTGTGTAAAGGTCTTCTTTGCTCTACCAAGGGATTCATAATTGGTCTTCATCTGAGAGGTTAATCCATACAATGTACTTCTTAGGTTTTGAGCTGTTTTGTAACCATGTGAAGCATAGTAACACATACGACTACACAACCATTAGTCCAGCATACCGTGTCAAAATGGTCAGTGTTACTTCTTTGTGGGACATCCTAATTTTCTAAATCTCCCTTTGCGAAAATAGTCCAGCGCTTCAGAATGAGACTCGGAGGGAACCTTTTAATGTTTTTATATTTGAGTACTATTATGATGTGGCAGCATGGAATACCAATGTATTCCATTTTCAAGCAGTTGCACTTCATACTATAATTTTGAGGAGAACATATGACATTTCATGTTGATTTTGGTTGTGTGTAGTGAGACAAGTAGTAACTCTAATAGATTCCATTGTCAATTTTTTGGACTACAAAGAACATGGATTCGGACTTCAACTTATTGTGCACTTTGAAAAATAATTTCCTTGTATATATGGATGTTGCATG